GCTGCCTAGAGGCGGGCTCACCACACTGGCCCTTGGTGTTGTTCCCAAACAAGCGGTAGGGCAGCTTGATAGAGAAGGACAGGCCATTGTAGGAGACGAGAGCCCCCAGCTCGGGGATGTCCACCACATAATTGATGCCAGATTCGTACACCTGCAGCCCATACTTCTTGTAGGGCAGGGCCACTACCTGCCTGTTGACCTGCACCTGCGGCCGGACAGATGGACACACTGGTCAGGGGGCAGCTGTAGCCCCCAGAAAGGGGCCACGTCAGCTGAGTGGGTGCCACTCAGCCCCCTGCTCTCAGACCTCCACCCTCCACTCTCCCCCTCCTGTTTCCTTCTGGCTTCTCTTCCAGTAGTTCCCAGAGTGAGCCTGCAAGTCCTCCCTCGGTGGCCCCAGGACTTGGGCCCCTGGGGTGCTGGCAATCAGGACCAGGTGGGGTCCCCAGTGGAAAATGCTCAGCTGGGGGAGTCGGACCAGCTGGGGGAGGCTTGGCCCCAGAGACGGGTGCACAGGGTGGACAGGTGTGGGAGCAGGTGAGCACAGCTGGAGGGTCCTCTGAGAGGAGCCGCCCTGCTGTCTGCCCACCTCTGGGAAGGGCTGCACCCTGGCTCCGTGCTGCCCCACCGCCCCGCCTACCTGCATCTTCACAGGCACCAGCTGCACCGTCTTGACCAGCACCTCCTGCGTCTCGTGGCGCACTATGAGCGCGCGGGGGCATGAGACCTTGTCGTTGACATCACAGTGGTAGTTGTCAATGTAAATCCCGAAGTCATCCACCGTGGGGCTGATCTCCTCCACCAGCACGTACGTGCAGTTGCCCTGGTAGCTGTAGTATAGCCCGTCGAAGGTGACGTAGTGCGGGTCCCCCCAGCCCGTGCAGTAACCTGGAGACAGGGTGCCATGAGTTGGCAGTGCCCAGAGCGGGGTCTGAGTTCTGAGGTCTCAGTCTGGGACCCGGCACCCAGGACCCAGGACCTAGTCAGGCCAGTAAGGTCCACTGTCCAGGCATCTGAGCCAGGGCAGACCTGGCTCAACTTCCCGCCCAGAAAGGACACCCTGTGCACCCCACGGCAGCATGGTGCACAGGCCAGGATGGAGGAGGCCTGAACTCAAACCCCGCCTCCAGCCAGTCCCAAACTCTGGGGCACCCCCATCTCCTGACCACACTGCACCAGGCAAGCCCTCACAGCGTGGGCACCCTGCCCAGGGTGGAGCATGAATAAGGGGATGCTCTGTCCTCGGGCTGTGGTAGTTAAGTTTGTGCGACAACTTGGCTGGGCCTGGTTGAGTAGCTGGGCAGCTGGATGTAGTATTCCCCATGATGAGACTGGTAATCAACTCCATGGTGGGATCTACTGTGAGC